CTCACTTCATGCAAAAGCACATTAATCATTAACATTTGTCCACGTGGCTGAGAAGGGGCCTTTTCAAAGCTGCTTTTAGCTGAGCTGTAAATATTAAGCAGCACATCCAGCAGTAGCTGTGGGACACCACTTGTTAAATATTGCTGCTATTGAGTGCCCCAGCTTTGCATTTGAGAGGTAGTGGTGTGCTGCTACACTTTGGGATGCTCAATCCRTGGATAACAAGCCCAAAAAATGAACAGCAGAATTAGGGAGGGAAGAGACACAACTTYAACATGCTGGTGTTAAGCCCCCTTCTATTTAATACAGCCTTGGGGTAGTGCCTGTAGTATGGGATCATTTTTTTGGAGTTGGGAAGCCCAAAATATTTTTGGTGCTGGACCCCTTGGCTATATCACACATGGCTGGCACCAAAGCAAAACTCTGGATTTAGGAGTTTTGTTTGGTGTTTTTTTAGGGGAAAAACCAACCCAACAACTCAGTTTTGCCCTTTTTAGCTGAAAACTAAGAGGACAGTGATTAGAGCTGTTACCTAAGACAAAAAAAAATGAGGAAATCTGCTTTTCTGGCCATTTTATCTAATAGCAGTAAATCTCATTGAGCTGAGTGCATCTGTCCATATGGATATAACTATTCTGAGACTAAAGAACTTTATGCAGTGCTGTTGGTGCCTCAGACTGAGGTGCCAGGCTCTTTTTGCTCCTGCAGTAACACCACATTGTGGTGGGTGAATCTGTAGACATCAAATAAAACATCAAATGGCAGCCCCTCATTAGAGTTGGATAAATGGGTGTTAGCTGGGGAGGAGTACAGTGATTCATTTTTTAATGAAAAGAAATGGCTTCAGCTGTTCTGCTTCTGGTAATGCATTCTCTATTCAATGTGTTATCTTTTGAAAGTCTCATCCCAATTCTAACCACTGTGGGGTTYTGTTATTTGAACTTTTTTCTAGTGTGAATATTCCTCTCAGGGTATTCTTTTTAGATACTTTAGACTCTTATGTAAAAATAAAAGGTAGTTAGCTTGTAGTTTAATGCAGCCAGGTCTGTAAATAAGAACAATTTTGCATCATTTCCATCCTTCCATCTTCCCCATCTGCAGCTCCTGAAGGGGATCTATATTTCTATCATCCCTTACTGGTGAGGTTATCTCAAGTTATTATACCCATTTTAAAGGGGTGAGGGGATGGTCCACCCTCCTGTTACTGTCTTCATCCTGCTCATGAATGATCCAAAGAACAGTATCCAATTCCTGGAAGCTCTTGGGTTTCATTTTTGATTTTGACTAATTGTTTTCTCGAAATAATGAGCAGTAGTGACTTCACAAAGCACAGGCTCCTGGCACCCAGATCATTAATGACTCACTGAATCTTTAGTAGCAGTTAAAAATAAGCTTTTTCCCACACTTTGAACAAGTCCTGCTCGTTTTGCTCACAAAGGATGTGTAATGTGTGGTGGGAGGGAGTGGGGATGTATTTCCTTATCATTTTCTATTCATCACCAYTTTGAGGCACAGAATCCAAGGCAACCAAAAACGAGAAAGAAAAAGGGGGTTGCATTAGAGGTCTGGTCCAGATGAAAAATATTAGCTGGGGTGGGTTTTTTTTAACATGGACAATGCCCCTCTTGCTCCTCCTTAACTCCTCTACAGACATGCAAGTACCACTCTGTGGTTTTGAATCTCATCTGCAGTGGGAACACTAAAATTAGGAGGACTTTGACTTTTTTGAGATTTCATGATGGAAATTTCATCAGAACATTCTTGAGGAGCAGCATTGGAGGACAGTGCAGGGAGAGGAATGTGTTACCCACCCAGGATAAGCTCTGGGCAAGGTTTCCAGCAAGAGAAATCCCTCGTGACTTCTCTCAAGTGATGCACAGGCAGCTCCATTCTCATCCCTGCCCATTTTTCTTGTGAGGGGAAGTGATGTAGGGCCTCTCACTGTCTGAAATTTGAGTGCATCTCTGAAGCTGCTGCTGAAGATTGACCACTGAGTCTTTCCAGACCCCACTCCCTTTGGATCAGCCCATGGGAAGAGCATTTGATGGGAAAATCACAGGTTAAGAAACAAAGATTCAAATCTGRTGTTGCCTGTACCTATTTTATTGCTTGAAATTCAGCAGTGGCCTGCAAASTGTATTAATCCCTTTGCAGCAGCACAGGATTCCAAGAGTGGATTCAGTGTTCCTCTGGAAAGCACCTCTGGGATGTTTCTCAGCAAGGGTGTGTTGTTCTGGTTTTACAGCATGCCAAAGATGTATTTGATTTCTTTGTGGGACTGCCTGGCTTTCTTAAAAGGTACAGTGGAAGTCACTTTTTTGGAAATTACTCTTTTTTTCGTTGTTTTTTTGGTGCAGGGGATGCTTGTGCTGCCCAGTGTCCTTCCCTGCTCTGCTGCCCCATGACCACAAAAAAACCCAAACCACAGCCAAGCACTGAGATGAGAAGCTGAGGTCTGTAATGTCAGTTTAAGGTATTTTATCAGCATCTAATTGCAGTCCTTTGTTAAGTGGCTGCATACAGAAGCAGCATAAACCCATTAAATGGCAATGCTGAGTCCTCATCAAGGATTTGTTTATTGGGRATCCAATCAAAGAAGGTCAGAAATGCCAAAAATCTCTCCCTGGCTATTTTAGGAGCTCCAGAGTACCAATAYCTTTTTTATAACCCAGGCTGATACTTTAGAAATATCTTCACTTGTCTGCAGCTTGTTTCMAAAAAATGTTAATTGGGCTTGTGGGATGAARGGCYATTCCAAATGTAAAGCTGCTTTCCAGCATGCTTTATCTCAGGATAATCCTTTTTTCCAAGGAAATTAAGGCACGGTTTATAACACCCAGGAGTGGTTTGGGTTTTGTAAACCTCTCCAAGCTCTGTGTGTGTTGTAAAGGCTTGAGAAGGAAGGGAAAATCAGGGGTGCAAGTGTTGGCTGGCCAGTGAAAATCCCTGTTCTGCTTTCAGCAGGGGGTCAGATGAAAGCAAACTTAAATAATGGAAGGAAATAAACCTGATAATTTCATTATTTATTGCTGCTGCAAAATCTTTGCTAACTCTTTTGTCTCCTAACCTTGACGAGAGATGTAATAGACATGGAAAGATATAATAGACATTTACAGGGGGAGGAGAGACATGAAAATCCTGAGGGCAGGYAGGGAAGGCAGACAGATATTCCCAGTTCTCATTGGCATTTCCACCTTTATATGCTGGCCCCTTTTTTCCTACTAGCCCTCAGAATAATCCAAATTTTTCCATACAGTATCCACTAGCCCCCAGCCCTTTCACAGGTAAGGGGATTTGAGAAGCAAGAAGCAAGGGGGTTGAAAAGCAAGCCATTTAAAGCAGAATCAGATGTTTTTGTCATCAGCTAGTCTTGCTTTTGTTAGCACCTTTTGGGCAAGAGGGCAGCAGAAAGAAGAGCTACTGGTACCAACCCCCAGGCTTGCCAGGATTAAAACTCCTCTGCAGTGTTTTGAGGCTCAAAAAGAGAAGGAACACTTTTTAAGGAGGTCCACTCACAGATTTTACTGTACTGCCACTTCAGGACAGCTGTCTAAAACCAGGCAACAGCATTTGGCATTGCACATCATCCTCCCATTCCCTGCTGCTTTAAAAGGGGTGACTTTGAGCTGTGTAATGCTGTTCTCCATCTCATCTCCCTGCCTGACATCACAGCACCATTCAGTTTTCTTGTCTGAGAGCTGCCACAGGACTTCTTCTTCCACTCAAGAGCTGCAGGAGTGGTGTCCCTGTGCCCACGAGGCAAAGTCCTTGGGGCTTAGGTTGGACTCTCAGGAGGGCATCCTTAGCCTGATCCCAGAATGGGGAGGAGGTGAAATACCTTGTGAGGAGGTGAAATRCCTTGTGAGGAGGTGAAATACATTGCATTTCTCACAGTCCTGCTGCAAGAGCAGTGACCTTACATCTGCCAAGGGGAGCCAGCCACAAATGTGCCATTTTCCTGATGCAGGAGAAATGGGCTGCGGTGTTGCAGATTTACTACTGACGAGACACGTGCCCACTCTGYTAAAGGCTGCTGGCCAAAACTGTGGGTGCAGGCCCAAAAAGACAGGTTGTTGTTGTTGTTGTGGAGAATTAGAAAAAAAAGAGACTTCTCTGCTTCAAAGGCACAGAAAGCTAAATGAGCCRTTCACATCATCTCCATTTTCCTCAGGAGAAGTGGTGAAAGTCTTTTATATTTCATTGCCTTCTCCCCTTGTTGATGGTGAGAAAGAGAGAAGCAATTAAATATCTGATGTGGAGGAGCTGAAGCCTTTCTTTGTGCAGAGGTATCTGATTCTCACATGTTTATTTTCCTATTCAGTTTTCGTATGCTGAGTGGATCGCTTATTAATTGTTAAATGACWGCTCTGCAATTCAGTTATGGAAATTATTTCTACTTCAGTGCCACTTGCCCTTGAATTGAGAATGAGAGGTCAACCAGAATTAGATAACTTTGAACCTTTTATCTCTCTGAAAAAAAAAACTATGGTTCAACCTGCCTGTCAAGAGGATGTGAATGTTCCTTAAAACAATCCTAATGGCCAGGCTGGTTTGGGGATCATGTTGAGAAGGTGATGTGTCCTGATCAGACCTTTAAACAGATTAATCCAGGTGTGGTGGTGGCTGCAGTGCAGAGCTGCTGTTCTATCACCTACATTCATTTCTAGAATGGATTGGGAAATCGCAGATGGAATAAAACAAAGTTGTAATTTGAACTGAGGCAAGGAGAGCTGTGTGGGCAGAGAGGGCAGTCCCTTGGCTTCAGTGAGATTCTGCTCAGGCAGAAATGTCCTCCCACGCTCTTCTCTTCAGGGCTGCACCTCCAGCTTCATCTTTCACTGTGAGCCTTTGCTTTTCGCCTCTCACAAATAAAGAGGCTGGAAAAAAAGAAAAAGGAGTTATGTATTATGCAGCAAATATTACCAAGGACACGTTCTGTGGTTAAAAAAAAAAACCAACAAACAACAACAAGGCAAAGAAAAATGCAAATCTGTAGCTTTTCCTTTATTTTCAGAAGAGAACTGTATTCCTCTGGTGTCTCCCTGCTGGCACACAATGCTGATATTTTTGTGCATTTGATCCGAAGGTCGCTGAGGTCAGTGCAGAGATTCTCAGTATCTTCAGTGGACTTTGCACCACGCTGAGCAGGAGCTGCTGTTTTGCTGATGAATCCGAGTGTGATGCCTGTCCYGAGGCTGTGGAACAGCAAGAGCAGCAGTGTTGGAGGGGCTGTAAACCAGGCTGGACTGTGAACACGTGCCTGCCCCCTTTGCTCATGGTGAATTAAAAGACAGCAGTTTGCATTCTCAAAGTAACGAGGAAAAAAATACCAAAAATTATTTACACCAATTTTTTCTTTTCCCCCCCTTGTAAGTTCACACAGTCAAAATTGCAGAAAACAAACAAATACCATTATTTTGGTCCCACTTAGGAGACGTGTTTGCAGTGGCAACTGAGCAGACCCTTTTGTCCTGATAAATTCTATTTTCAGATCATCGGAAAGGTTATCGATCAATGCCATAAAAGCAGAAAAAAAAAAAAAATGAAAAGCCTGTTTTTGTCTGGCTGCTTTATCTTGTTAAATATTTTAAGAAGGAAARCCCAGCTGAATGCCTGCTGGACTGCAGGCATGTTTTGAAGCCTTTGGTACCCTGTTTATRTATTTTTAGATGAGCTGCTCTGCCCAAATGCCAGTGATTTTTCGCCATCCATTTAAAGGTGTAGTTGCTTGTAATCCCAAATCTGTGGGGTCAGTGTTGCAGGGACAGAGGGTTAATGTTTCTGGGAGGAAATGGGATGCTGCTGGTGGGGTGTGTGCCCTGCAGGGTYTGCTGTGCCAGGCTTGTGCTCTCCCTTCTCTGATGGAGCACAATGGATGCCTGGCATTGCTGCTTGCTGGGAACAAATGGCCAGGAGAGATGTAYTCAAACAGCTGCCCTTCAAAAATTGAAAATGAAAAATGCCATTTTGTGGGYACAAAATGTATTTGCTGTAGCTGGGTCGTGCTGATCTAAGAGCTTAGGTRCAAGAATAAAGGGACTTTTTGAAATGAGACTTTTTGAGGGCATTACCTGGTGCCACAAAGATGCATCAATCAGCAGAGGATTTGCGTGGCGTTCACCCACCTCTTGAAAAACTTGCAGCAACCAAAATAAACACCTTTGTGCTTTTAGTTCAGCTCTGGGTGTTGAAGCATTTCAGCTGCAGGCCCTGCACACCCCTCGTGTGTTCTTTCAGACCCCAGTTCTGAAAAGAGCAGAAATGAAAGTTTTAAACAGATCTTACAACCAAATGCTGACTCAGAGTGATTCTAATCTTCTGTCTCATGTCTGAGAAAACCAGGTAGGGCCTTGACTGAAGAATGATTGGAGTGGAAAAGCCAAGATCTTCTGGCCTTTGCCATCAACAAGAGCCAGCATTGTGGAAAATAAATTGGTTTAGGGTTGTAGTACCACAGGGTGGTTTGGGTTGGAAGAGGACATACATAGAGGATATTAATTTCTACTCAGCTTTTATATTTGGTGTAATACTTTTAGGYTGGGCATTAATGGATTCCTGAGTCATTTATGTAACAGATAAACTAAAACATTAAAGAGCTGCGGGGGAGCAAGAGGGATCTGTTTTGGGGCTGCTAACCAAATTATTCAGCCTGCAAGCCAGTAGTACTCCCAGCTAGAATATCCCAGAATCCCAAGTCACACAGCCTCCTAAAGGTCAGGAATTCTCTCCTCAGGTTTTTACTGCATTCTTGAACTGTGGGCTTATTTTTAAATGCAGATTACTTACACAGTGTTGATCAGTTTAGTGTAAAAGTAATTCTCAACCCCAGAGTTCATTCYGGTTTTCCTGGCATTATTTATTGCAGTAACAGAGAGGAACGTGGTTGGCATTGATCAGATTAAATAAAAAGTTACATTAAAAGCACAGAAATTTCCTTATGTCCTTAGGAGTTGACCAAGTACATGGTCTTGTAACAAAAACATGCCCCAGTGGCAGGGAGGGTTTGGTGCTGTGATRGGATACTTCCCAAAACATTTAAGAAAACAGTAAATAATAAGATAAAATACTTKAAACTTAATCCTGAGAAAGTGTGTGGGGTGTTATGATAATGAGTGATGTTTGATTTTAATTTCTTCTCCTTTCTGAGTGATTCCCATGTTAGGTACTAGGTTAAAATGTAATTAATATGGATTCCAGGTCTCGTGAATGTTCTCACTATAAAAGCTGGATTTAGTAGTGTAAAAGCAGAAGGTACATCAGTAAGGKCTGTCTTTTTCTCAGGCTTAATTTCACACTGCAATTCAGTGCTACAAGATTATAAAAACACAGCTAGCCTGAGTATTTGGAGATGAAACATCTAYGGGAATATTTCAACTCTGTGAGCAGCCTTAAAAATAACAACCAAACAAAAGAAAACAAGGACAGCTGTCAAACAAAAGACAAAAATGCAGCTCATAAGGGAGAAAGGGCATTTACCCTCCAAGGTCCCCTGCAGAGGACTTGGAGAGAAGAGMACCTCACCTTGCAGTGCTTCCATCAGAGGCTCTGCCAGGGAAGAGCTGACACAGCAGCAGGGCTTGAATAAGTGATGATGGAGCTTTCTGGTCACTGCTACCCTTGTGAGAGAGCCAGAAATGTACTTTTGAAATAGTTTCTGTGTAGTTTTCCGTGTAATATGTATAACTATATAAACTACATGTGTTTATGTTCTTATATAGTTGTATATAGTTTTATTATAAATTTAATTTTTAAATACATGCATTGATTCAAATCTCAAAGGTAATTTAATTTTTTTTTAATCCTGGTTTTATATGCTTCTCTGTATAGTTTGGTGAAGCTTGCAGGTATCACTGTCTTGTTTTTTTTCCTTCTGTTAAAACCACCTCAGTCCTGCCAAATATCTAAAGATGTGCACTGAGGCATCCACAGGGAGAGAGATACACACARATTTAAAACACAATATTTCACTCTTTTCCTAAGATTGCATCCTATGCCAGACACTGGAATTGCATAAAATCCCCAAAAGAGGAAAAATAATATGTAACTTCCAGTCTAATTTCCACTTGTGGGGTAATTGGGAACAGGCAGCTGTGTTTGTTACAGGTTTATGGTGATTCCCCATGAAGCTTTTTGAGCCATCTCCCACATGGTGTCTAGAGCAGTGATGGCCATCTCTGAGGATAAATTCAGATCAGATGGAAGGAAGAAGATTTTTTGCCGTGGAACAGGTTGCCCAGAGAGGTGGTGGATGCCCCATCCCTGGGATCATTCAAGGTCAGGTTGGATGGATCCCACTGAAGATGTCCAGGTGACCTTAAAATGTCTCTTCCCACCCAAACTATTCCATGATTTCAAAAAACTGACCACAAACCCCTAAATAAAGCCTTCATAAATTCTCCCTCAGTAAACCCCAACCTTGAAGAGTCACAGCTCTCTGGAATTCATCTCTTTGTCAGGACAGCACTGCCACACCTGCAGGACAGGARAAGAGCAGGAATTTGTTTCTGATATTGACCCTAAATACATAAAACCTCTACAACCATCTGCATGGAGTGTCTGTGAACTGTGTCAGTGGAAGCAAAGTTTGTTCAAAGAAGAGTTGGAGAGCAAATGCCTTTCTTAGTTAATGATTTTAGCTCAGTTTACACCTTTGTTTAAATAGCACCTGGCTCAATCTGCATCTCTGCGTCCTGAGACGGTGTCATTAGCCTAAGCAGGTTAATTGATTTATTTGACATGCCATTACACCAATTTACCTCAAGCCAGTCAAGCAGCAGAAGAAAAATGCTCCTGTTAAAGATTAACCATTCCACACTCACTGTTTTAGGGTTTGAAAATGCTTGAGCTCAGTTTTGCTTTCAAATGTTGGAATTCAAATGAAAACAGTCTCGATGTGCTTTCTTTGATAAAATWGTGTCTGTGGGGGCAGAGAGGGGGTCGGGGTGTGAGTGTTCTTGTGTTGTTTTTTAGAAACAGTTTAGATAGAAAAGTTTCACTTTTCGTTCCTGCACCAGGAATTAGATCACAACACTTTCTGTTCTCTTTTCCTTCCTGCACCAGGAGTTGGATCACAGCACTTTCTGTTCCTTTGTCTCAGTTCCATCCCTGTCTCCAGAAGGCAGAAGTTCTGGCAGTGCCCTTTTTTGAGATTACCCAGCCCTGTGTTTAGTGGCCTTCAGCTCTGACCAATTTACATGCTCAGTATTTCCCATTCCAGGCTGAATCCTTCCTCAAACTGCTTCACCCACATCCAAG